GGAGGAGCCCAGCTTTCCTCCTGCAACATAGCTCAGTGTCTCTCTCCCCCTTTTAGCTTTTACTGTGAAGCTCTCTCCTTCCTGCAGGTCTCCTCCACACAAAGCACCATTTTAGAGAAATCAGCTGGAAGGGGCTCAGTGGAGTAACTACAATGGATTCAGAACACCAAGACTCCTAGCAGTAAGTTTAAAAATCACTAAATGGGCTGCACCTCCTTAGGAAACTTCTTGGAGTTGGGAAAGCCCATGGAGCTGAAGCTGTTCTGGTCTGAAGCAGCTCCCAGGGCTGTGTATGAGACCTCGATGGCTGGGCTGGGGGAAAAGACTCTATTTGGAGCTGGGTCTGTCCAGTGCAAGCAAGAGAAGATATGGAGACTTACATTGTAAAACAGGGCCTCTTTGGAGTGCTTCCCAAACTGCTTATACAGCGTCTCCTGGAAAATCCCCATCCTGGCAGACATGAGGAGGGCGAAGGTGAGTGCAGCGATTCCTGGAACAGAAAAACCCCAGATCAGCCAGCTCAGGGACTCCCACAATTGAGCCTTTGGTGAAAGAAAACGGTGAGAGGAGTAAGAACATCCCAAGCTGGTAAGATGGGGGAACACTCAGAAGGGCCTCGGGACATAGGTGCCTTCTTACAAAGATTTCTGTGCCCGAGAGATGCCTGTAAATATAATCTCTTAAACACAAGAACTCAGGCCTGGCAGGCAGGCTGGCTTGCTGCCTAGGCAAAGAGATTATCACAAATACAGTTATTTGTTATTTTTGTTATAACATCAAGCTCATGTGCCCCCAAACCATAAATAAATGCAGGATGGAGGTATGAAAATAAGAGGTAAGTGCCAGTTTGTAGAGATTCCTTCATGAAATACTTGGCTGAACGTAGGCTTCAGCCCCTCTCCCTCACTGCAGCACATCTCATAGCACGAGATACATCAGGCAGGGCTGGTTCTGTACAGAGAAATCAATCTGATGTCTGCAAACACACGGGTCAAACTTGTGTCTGATGTAAGTGTACAAGGTTGGGCTATTAAAATGGTGGCTTCTTAAAAGACAAAACCCATCCTGACCTCAGCTGAGGATGAGATGAGCTTGTCAGGATACTATTTCATAGTTATCTGCACAGAGAAGTTGCTTCCCAACCTATGCAGAGATGGGAATGCCTCACATCAGAGCTGTGCTGGCAGTATGGGGCAGAGTTTACTCTTAATGCTACAATTTTCCATTTGTTGCTGGGAAGTATTTTGCAAAACTGTAGTTTTAATCTGTTACTTAGTTACTGCCTGATAGAAACACTCCAGCTGCTACATTCAACTTGCTGAAATGGAAGGAATTCACAAAGCCACCAAGTGCCCCAGAAACACAATTCTTTGCAAACCAAAGTCCATCAGATGCTCAGCACAACTTAACCTCAGCTCTGGGGCTCCCGCTGCAGTCTGCTTAGCACAACCCGCAGCCAAGGGGCAGCCCTCCAAGAGCAGAGTCCTGGCTGCAGCCGTGGCACTCACGCACCTAGCAGCCACCACAGGAACGCCCAGAGCCCGTCCTCTTCGCTTAAACCGGAGTCAGATGCCTGGGGGAGACACATCAGAGAGTCACCGCGAGCCACCGCGTCCCACAGTTCATCCCCAAGCTGCCCTGGTCGGGTAAATAAACCAGAATTCTGGCTTGTGGTTGAGATGTTGAGGCAACCACCCTGTAGATGCTACTAGCCAAGAGGAAAATGCTGGGTAATGTGACTTGGCTCAGCTCTCTCTGTGGCTCAGGGCAAGTTACACTGCTCACATTTACCATTAAAAAGCCAGTCACAACTCTGAGCACTGCATCAAATCCCCGTGCCTGCTGAGAATTAATACAGACCTTCCTTGGATACCCCAGGAGTATAAGCAGCTATTAAATGATGAGGTTTAAAAGGTCTGGCAGCCTTGCTTCACTTCCAAACTCTCAACGCTGGATTAAGTGAAACCAGTCTTCACTCAACCACTGTTTTATGTTACTTTTCTATCTGTAGTTGTCAAAGTCGGGGTGTGTGGGCTGACCCAAGAAAAGCCCAGGCTGGTGCTACACACAGATTTCCATCACTCCCTCCTGTTCTCCAAGCACTTGCACTTCAAGGGTCACAGAAAGTCCCACTGGGTAACAACAGGCTGGAAAATTCTAGCTTGAACCCTGACAGTTTATTCTGTGATAAAGAAGTTTTAAGATTTTGTCTACTATTACTGCAACACATCAGAATAAGGGCAAGAAAAAAAAACAGCTGGCAGCTGTTATCGTGTGGGGGAAAAAATCATGGTTCGTTTTCAGCAAAAAGCAGAGTAACATGGGGTAAAAGGCACTGTAATTAAGTTAAATCACGGTCATGTGTGAGGCACTTCTCCCTACAGTTAAATAAAGCAGCCAGGAAGAAGTGCTGGTGGGGAGCAGATCTGGAGAGGTCTTGCCTCTCCACTAACAGTCGCTCAGAGGCAGTTACTGATGAAGATGCCCAGGACAGCTCTTCCTCCCTTTAAGGTTCGTGGCTGTGTCCTCAGGCTCTTTTTATTCTTACCACTTGCTTCGCAGACATGAAAGTGCAGGTGAAGATCCCCACGGACACCAGGGCTATGGATGCATATTTAGAGATGCTGTATCTGCACAGGGGGAGAGCAGAGATGTCAGGGACATGGCCCCACCTCACCTTGTTCCTTCACTACTCCCTGCACCTGGATTTTGCTCCACTGAGCCAGGATGAACCTCCTTGGTCCATATTGTCTTCAATGAAGGAGCGAGGGGTGGTGGGAGGGCAGAAGAGGAAATTACTCAGGTCTAGTCCATGTCTTAACCATTTCTTCCCACATTTTCTGTGCTGCATCTTCCCCACCAATAAAGCCAGGATATTTAATGGGAAAAGGAAGTCACTCAACAACAGCAAAGACTAAATCAGTGGCAGAGCTTTCAGGGATGAAACCAAAAAGGTGCCTGCGATTTACCTTTTTTTCAAAATGATGATGCCTAGAGCCATGCTTGCTATGAGAGACCCCTGGAAAAGGAGAAGAGAGAGGAGGAGAAACAAAACAAAAGGTCAGTGTGAAACTTCTATGGACTGGGGCTCCTGCCAAGGAAAAAGAGCATAATTGATACAATTAACACAAAACCAGCAGCAAAACACCAGGACAGGAGCATGGAGATGGGCAGGGTCAGGGGAATGTCATTTCAGCTAGGAAAAAGGGACAAGTCAAGCTTGAGAACAAAGAAGATGGAGCAAAATCGCTTGGTCACAAGGTCTCCTCCTTTCCTGGATCCAGTGTGTGCTACAGACCACTGTGTAGCCAAATCCCCACGATTTTAACTGGGAGCAGCAGTGCAGCTCTGCAGATTGCCTGCAGGACACTTGTGGGCTGCTATACAGGAGCCATCCCTCGCGGTTAACGTGAGACAGGGCTCTGGAGTGTTGTCTGTTTTTCCTCTTTCTAAACTATCTTGATTTCATGTATCTAAATCCCACGGTGTGCTGTGGGACAGCAGCCACCAGCCCAGCAGATCTCTTGAACTCAGCTGTTATTTCCAAAAGCCAAACTCCGTTTTCTTTGATTTTAAAAGATATTTTAGCCAGCATTTTGTCTGCAAACACTTGAGTGAAGATGTGTTTTCAATAGCAGCTTCCAGAGCAGAGGTCCATGTGGTAATAGCACAGGTGGAAGTCACCTACACTACAACATGAACCACCTGGTTTAGCTATAAGATGGGAAAACTGCATCCCTGTGGTCAGCAATTCAGCCCATCCAGGGCTGATGGCCCAAGTTTGGGATGGGTTTTGTCATCGTTACTTCCTCATCACCTTGGAAAAAGCGAAGCCTGTTCGAGCTTCAGTTTCCTCATCCATGTAGGGACATTAAGGGAATAACTTCCACGGTCAACACTGGAAATGAGACCCAGAGCAAAGTTGCTCTTCTCCATAATTTAGTTTTTGTATGGGATTGTGGTGTCCACACAGGATGAGGGGATGCAGGAAGAGCACACGAAGGGCCATCACACGAGGATGGAAAGGACAGCGTGGCAGTACTCACTGATCTGAAGATCATGTGCAGGGGCATGGCGATATTTAAGTTCAGGGCATAGTTATTCACCACGCTCACTGTGAAGAACATAGCCACCATGATGAGATAGTACCTGAAACACAAAAGCAGGGGGTGGTTGGCGTGGCTGGGCACAGGCTATCCGTGTGCTGGGAACACCCTGGAAGCTGCAAGGACAGGCCTGGAGCTGGGGCTCACCTCGCTTTGGCTCTGTGACAAGGACTAAGAGGGAAAGCAGTCCCCTTGTGCATGCAGCAGGGAAGTCCTTGAAAGGGGACGTGAACAGACCTGCACCAGCTCAGCTCATGCTCATTCCAGAGAGGAAAAAAAAAAAAAAAAAAGAGGATACCAGGATTTCTTAGCATGGACGTCCTGCAGACACCTCTTTCCTAAGGACTGTGCTGCAAGACAAGGCTTGTTTTGACAAGATTCAGTTTCTGACAGCAGTCAGGAGTGGAAGGAGAGACCATTTAAATCTGTCCTGAACTTCCACAGTTGCAGCCCTAGGCCACAGGGCCAAACTGGCTCTGCAAGGGGGAGCTCCCTGGAGAGACAAGGAGCCCTTAGAATGCACCGTGCAAAGCACAGCCGTGCTCCTTGGGTAGGAGAGTGTCTGAGGGCAATTTCCTCTCAAGTATTCTCAATAAGTGAGGAATTCATATTTTTACTAGGCGTGACAGGTTCTCAATGAGGCTTCGCGGATGCTGCAGAACGGATGGGATTTAGACAGGATAAATGATAAGCCTTTTTATTAAACGCTTCTTGAGATGACAGATAGCCAGTCAATTTGTGCCTAGCAAAAGCTTTTACATCAGCTGTACCTTATTGGTATGGCCCGCTGCTTCCTCCCAAAGTTGGCTTCGAAGATGAAGCCTTCCACCGCGATAAAGAAGAACTGGGAGAAGGTCACGATGTTCCCACATCCTGGAAACTGCCTGTGGGTGGCAAGAAGAAAGCATAAGTGCAATGCCAAGGAACACGGATACTGCACCGGGCTGCAGTGAGAAGAGGTGAGAGGTTCACATTTCCAGAGCCTCAACCTGCGTGGCCTTTGCTACCTTCTAAATCCAGGTTTTCATGCCTGGTATTGAGCTTTTCAAACTCCACCAGGTGCTGAAAGCAACACCAGAGGTCCAGCTTCCACAAAGAGGTCCTGCAGTCTGGGCATCTTCCTCTTGCTGGAAGCAGCACTGCAGTTTTCACTGCCTTGCTGGCAGAAACAGCATCACCACTGAGCAAACCAGCCTCGGGTGATTGCTCTGGGGAAGAGCAACGACTCACAAGGTGCAGGCAGCCTGCAACAGCTGGACATTAAACACACTCTTCCTGCACGTAACTATTCCGAGCAGGCACGAGCACCACCTTCATCCTAAGGAGCTTACGGGAAGGAGAGGAGGATTTCCTGGGAGGGATGGGGCTGTTGTGTGTCAGCAATCACCCACAGAAAGTTGTACTCATCTGCACATGGAGATAGAGGAATTTGAGCCCCACTCTCAGCACTCTTGCACGTGGTTTGCTCACCCATAACGCAGTCACAAGTGGTTACAGGTCGGTTCCGAAGCTGCTTTTGCAGAACGCAAGCTGAGACACTGGAGAACAGGAGGACCAAATTGTGCAGTGGCAACCTGGTCTCCTCCAAAATCCCTGTCATCCCTTGGTCTGAAGGGCTCTGGAAGATGCAGAGCTGCCCAGGTGCTCACAAGTAGCCCCCATCCCTGGCTGCCACCAAAAAGCACCTGGAAAGGCCAGGGTCTCCCTGCACTTCCCATGGGACAGGCACAAACCCAGGTCCCTCCTTTATCCACCTGGCAATTTTCACAACCTTTTCCAAAGTTCAATTATCTATGAGATTTCAAGCCTTACTGTGCAATTTAGATAGAAAGTTGCTTGAGGCAAGAGAGGAGATATTGAAAGGGCAACAGAAGCCAGACCGCAGGATTGTAAACCTTATCTCCATAGGAAAACATAAAGCCAACGTAAACTTGGAACAGACCGAGATCATACATTAGTTTTATTGTTCTCACAAGGAGTTTGATCTTTGCGTTCAGTTTCTCGCTGTACCTATGACCTCACATTATCAGCAAAGCATTGCCACAGGTTATGTGTTGAGGGATAATGAAAAGACAAACAAAAAAGAAAAACAGGCTGCATCCGCCCCTGGCTTCGACTTAAAATCCAAACACCTCGACAGGCTTAAAAGGAACAGACAGGGAGTCTGGAGGTATCAACCAAGAACGGCTTCAACTGTAGCCTCTGGAAGCAACGTAGAAATCCTACTAGGATTCATCCTGCCTCCCAGGACTGAGTTGCCCGGACTGTTCATGATGGAGCAGCCGGAGAGGGGCTCAGAAGGGAGCAAATAAAATAGCTCAACTTCTGCGCATCGCTTTGGGAACACCTAAGGCACCATCCTCTCCTTGAGACCAAGTTCAGCGCATCCCGGTCACTGGATCCACTGGCGTGGATGGATTTCCATCCACACCTGCAAATAGCTCTGCTTTTCATGGAGAATTCCTGAGACAGCCCCTACCCACCTTGCAGAGAGCAGATGAGACCCACCATGCGGGGCCTCAACCATCTCCATGAAAGACAGCTCCTGACGACACAGCTTCAGAAGGCAAAGTGCAAAACACTGGTTTTCCAAGCACTCCTTCCTAAGGATCCACCCTGCTACACTTACAGGGAGCAAACCTGTTTTTTCGGTCTGCTTTAAATCCCTTTCATAGGAATTTAAGCCCATTCTTTCTTGTCCTGTCTTCAGAGGCCAACACATCAATTTATTTCCTCTTATGTGCAGCCACTTTCCACACATTTGAAGTCTTTTTTGTTTCCTCTGGCATCTCTAGACTAAACAGTCCTCATTCCTTCACGCTTTCCTCGTAAATCCCGAGGGAATTTCTTCCAATCACCTGCGCTGTTCCTCACTAACCTCTCTTTGCCTGGTCACTGCCTTTTGTGTGATCCTGCTCCAGGAGCACAGGACTTCCCTCATCAAGGGCAGATTCCTCTTCCAGAGGAGCCTTTCGCTCCACACAGCACCAGGACACACAGAAATACCAACCGTTTTCCCTGTTTCAGGACTGAAGGTGAACAGGGTAAGGGAGGAGCACAGGAATTCCTCAAGCGAAGGAGAAGAAAAGCAGCTTCCTTCCTAAATATCTGCAAATGGATTCCTGGGATTTGCTCCTCAAAACCTGGGCTTTAGCCACTTAATTCACCCCTTAGAGTGTGGCTCCCTTCTATTTTAAGGAGGAGGTGGCAAAGCCATTCAGAAGTCCATAAAATAGCGTTAAATGGATGCTTGGAATCACAAAAGTCACCTAAAATCTGGTGGGAATCCTCCTTGCTCCGTGCAATCCGCTGGCTTGGCCACCACCACAGGAAGGTCACCCTGCCACGCGGGTGACATTCCCGTGGCCCACGCAGCCCCACGGCTCCTCCTGTGGGTTTTTCCTTTGGGAATGCGCTTTTTCCTGTGGGATTGTGGATTTTTTTCCTTTGGGATTTCAAAGGTTACTGGGTGGCATCTGGTTGAGGCGGGGAATGGCGTTTTGAGGACAACGCGCTGCTATTAGTGGGCCCAGGAGATCCCAGCTGTGGTGCTGCCGCCTGGCTCCGCCAGAAAGCCCAAACCCAGCAGAAGGAACCCCCAAAATATCCACAAAAAATAAGGATCGGTGCCCCCCAAGTGCCTATGTTGGGGGTCAGGTCACAGCTGGGCCCCCACAGCCCCATATGCTGCCAGGGGCCCCTCACAGGCCCCTGGGGGCTGTAACCCCCTTCGGGACCAGCCTCAGCCTCACATCTCCCCCTCGGAATCCTCTCGGGGACCCCAAAAATCCCTTGGGATGCCAGCAACCCTCACAGGCCCAGAGGGCCTCCCCATCCCCGCGACTCCCACACCCTATTCCTGACCCTACTCCCGCCCCCTCCAGCCCTATTCCTGCCCCCTAAGCCCCATTCCTGCCCCCCAGGCCCGCTCTCCCGCCCCTCACCTGACCAGGAGCTCCAGGAACACCACGTTGCTGCAGCAGCCGCCGAACACCCGCCCCACCGCCACGGCCGGGTGCATG